CTGGGTGTTCAGCAGGCTGGTGAGCTGACAGCCAGAGAGCAGAGTCTCCTACTTATGTTCTATTCCTGGGGAGAAATACTTATCGCTGCAGGCTTCTTTGTGTCACCCCGCATGTGCACCCTGTATTGGGGAATAGAAATGCAGAAAGTCCTGATGAGGCAATTGAAACCCTTAGATTGAATGGCCTATGCCCTTTTGTACTCAAAGGGAATGGGAAGGCTTTAGGAACTGGCTCTGTCACTAGGATTAATAACTGGAAAATCAATTTGTCATTTCCCTGTCATAAATTAAAAGCTTATAGGCCTTATAACATGAGTAAAATAGAGGTTAGTGGGTATTGATGGAGGTCTCAAAGCTCACTCAGCAGAGCAGATCTCTACTATACAATTTAAATTATGTCTCCTCCGCAAGGAATATCTGTCAATATTTGTATTAAAAAAAGACATCCTGTGCAAGAATATTTTATCTGTTTCTACACCGCTGCTGTGACTGTTGCTGCTGAAAGAGGTATGTTCTTGAGGGAGGTTGTGGTCCCGATTTGACAGGTGTAAATGACCTTTACATTGTACATTTGTCTGTGGATGTAGTGTAAATTAGTCATGTTTAAGCTGATGAGGTGTCAGTGAGGATGTGCATCTCTAAGCTGATCTTGCTGAGAACAGAGAACCTCTGCCTGCTCCCTTGTCTGTGGCAGTGAGGTGAGAAGGCAACCACACCTTTCCAAAGGGGTGCCCAGCTGAGAGTAATGGAGAAAGAGTGATTTGTAAGAGAGGGAAAAGGACCTTTTAAAGTCAGGCACATGTAGAACTAGAAAGGAGCAGTCTAAGAGGAAATTATCTGCTGGTAAGATTTTTGTGGTTGAAAGGAGATGTGGTTTAGACCAAATAAACCCAGCCTTTTTTGGGGCAGCTGAAGAAAGGATAATCAGAATAGTTTCTCAACAAGAACTGGTTTTTTTATATATCCCTTTAAACTAGTTTATTTTTGTTCTAAATAAGGCATGTTTCAGTGATGGGTGATTACACAAATAGTCTAAGATGACCCAAAGAGTGAATGATCCATAACCTGACCTGCAGCAAGGTAAAAGGATATTTCCTACAGATTACTGTGTTTTGGTTTATTATTCATATTGCTATTTTAAGTTGTTTGTTTATTAGAAAGCTCTAATCAGTTTAATTGAAACAGATATGGTTGCCAGATATTTTAGTTATTTGTGCATAAATTATTGCTGTTAGGTACGTTGGTTAAAAATAAATAAATTGAAGCAGTCACAAGACTCAAGCATCATCAGACACACACAGATTCCAGTGTCTTTTCAATTGAATAGTAACTTAATTTGCTTTTCATTCTATGGTTAGTATCCTGTATCTTTTTATGTACCAGAAGCTAAACTGATTGATGTCTAAGCCTTTCTTAAACACGTTTTTACCTTAATTTGATTATAAGCATCACTTCTGTTTCTTCTTTAAAACTGTAATGGTGAAATAGACCTCTAATAAATTATCTGTTCTGTCTCTCTCGCGTCCAGCAGTTGCAGATGAAAGAGATTGTTGGACGACGAGTTGTTTGTTTGGTTGTTTGGGGTTTTTTAATTTAAAAAGAGCTTTTGCTATTTTTTTGCTATATGGAACTTAAATTCATACAGAACCTTTAGGATCCGTAGTGTTAATACAGCTCTGGCATAAATGCATTTACTGGGTGTAAATCTCTGTGACATCAGTTTTAGAAAAACATCAGAAATCACAAAAAAAGAAAAACATCTCACTTTACTGATTAGGCACACTATTCAAGTCCCAAAGCTCTGTATCTAGTCAATTTATATTGCTAGTAAGTTTAAAAAATAATCACTAAAAGTTGTGTTAGATTTAATTGCCTTCCTGCAGTATTTGGTTTTTCAGTAAAAGGCAGAATGGCTTTTATTCAGCATCCAAAGACACATGGCTTCTGCTTTCTGTGCTTAACTAGGCAAGACAAGAATAAACTTGGTCTTGCATTTAAATGTTAAGACAAAAGTAAAGAAGGAAGAAAAAGCACTTTATTTTTTTATGCAGAGATGTAAAATTTGACAGGTGATTTGTGGCAGCAATTCAAATGTTATGAAGGTTCTGCATTTGCAAGTGTGGCTTATGTGGTCTTGTAGCAGCTAACACATCAAAACTAGCTTATCAGTGAAAAAAAAAGGTATTGTATACAATTCTTTTTTTATAAAGTATATTGCATTGTCAATAGTGAAGGACATTGTGAAAGAAGGAAAGCCTAAGGGTAGGAAGTTAATATTAGGCTTAGAAGATTGGATGCTGTTTGCTGTGTTGCATCAGATGGCATTTCTTTGTCATCATTTCTTTGTACTGAATAGGATAATAGCACTGAAATTTGTGTCTTACACAGGACTAGTTTAAATAAGAGCCTAAGAAAAGTACGGATATTCTGTGATGTGAGGGGATTATTGAGTTCTGTAGAAGATGCAAGTATGTTTCCATTAAATCACAGACACTGTCAGATGTAGGAGCCAAATCATCTCCCCCTCTTCCAAGGAAAAACCTGTTGTAAAGGACATTCAGCTTGACCACAGCAGGCATGTTAGATCATGCCTACTTCTCTATAAGCTATTCATTGCAAGAGAAGGAGGTGGTATTGCTATTTGCCTTTTTTTTCTTTACTTTCTCCTCTTCAGGCAGAGCCTTTAGTTGTCTGCAGGGATCATAAGACTGAATGTGATGGCTGTTATTTAGTCACATACCCCGATTAAGTTGTACCAGTTGTAGGTCAGAGGCCTGCTGTGTTAAGGGCTCCATAACTGATTGATAGCTCTCTTCTGAGAATGGAATTCTGGAAAGTCAAATGGAGCAGCAGAACTGGCTATTGAGTATTGACAATCAGACTGTCATGGGGAACTGGAGGAGGAAAATGAGGAGTGCCCTGTGGATATCCATGGAGGGCTCCTCTGCTTGGGTCAGGAGGGTGAGAGACCACAAAGGCTTCTGTTTCAAGCAGCTGGGCAGGAGAGGAGGAAAAGCAAGCAGCAACTTCTAGAAAGATGAAGAAAGTATGAGGGAATCAGGATCAGGAAGAGAAGGCCACAAAGAATGAAGTAGTTGATTTGAAATGATTGTTCTTGCCACGTGTCGTCCTTGGCTTAGGCTTTCCATTTTGCCATCCAGTGGGTTTCATCAAAAAAGTTCTTGCATGAGCTGAGATTCTGCCCTCCAACTTTTTTTTCACAGTGCCCTAAAACACATACTCCTCAGGTGTTCTCCATAACAAAACTGTACAGTAATGACAATACATCTTCTTTAACATGTAGTTGAGCATTTTGTTGCTCTTTTGTCCATCTGGTCTTTGATACAAAGTTTAATAGACTCCTAACACTTTATAGGGTTAAAAAAAATTTTAGGTTTGTTTTTCTTTTTTTTTTTATTGGTAAAGACCATCTAAGGGACTTTAAGAAATAAGTGGTCTGAGGTTTGGGTATGATATTGCAATAGTAAACTGTATAGCATTAATATATCCACAGTTCCCTGCTGCCCAAATTGAAGTGTTCTTCATGTGTCATGAAATTTGTATTGATAACATAGAGGCCTGAAGAGAGTAGAGGCTTGTGCATTTGAATTTAAGGAAATGTGTGTAATCCTTGTTTCTGCTGCTTGTAATGTGTATGGATTTCTTACATTGTATGGTTTCCATGGCATTGTGAAGTATTCAAAATGCTGAGTGAATGTTAAAGCACCTGGTTAAGAATATTGAATATAAACTGGAAAAAGACTGTTCCTTCCAGCTTGCTGTTAAAACAGCAAATTAGCTGGAAAAGTGTAGTGGGAGGGCAACGGTATTAACCTTCAGATTAGAAAATATTATATCACCAGGAGGATAGGCTGAACTACATAAATCTGTGCCCACTAAAGGAATTAGATGTTTAATAGAGAATGTAATTGAAGTTTAAAAAAAAACACAGTTAATTTCACTAATGTCAATTCAGATTTTTTGTTTCACTTTCATAGCTATGGCAGGACAGTAGACAGTATAGAAAACTCGGAAGAGCAGTTGGATTTCTTTGAGGAGCTCTTTCAAATAGATCTAGCCTGTTCAGAACCAGTGAGTTAGTTCAGAAATAGTTTCTTTTTCTTACTGAATATTGTGTTGAGTGCTGACTGTGGTGATAAAAACAAATGTATACAGGGCATTCCAGAAAATTTTATGTTCTTGACAATTAAAAGTAAAGTCCTTTCAGGTTATCATTGCATGTTATATTAATCGACTTGAATTATGGTGTGATAGTAAATTGGACCCTGGGAAGTGAATCATAGTTGCACCAGCAGAGTAGTGGGTTTCTGAAAGAGAAACATCTCAAAAGGAAATGTCTGTGTTGGAGGCAGATACTGGCTGTACTACCTGGAGGCTGAAGTTTTGCAGCAGCAAGTCAGGTTTCTGCTGTTTCTCTGCCTCACTAAAGTGTTTCAAATCCAGAGAGTCAGAATGTTGCCTAGTGGGTACAGTCCCTATGGCTGCCAGCACATCCCATATGCCCAGCATATATGACTTGCTTTGTAGAGACCTGTGTTCACTGAGATGAAACATCAATGTGAAGAGTCTTAGTAGTCTTTGCACTACACTGGTCCAGGTTGAATTTGAACCACCATTCCAGAAGACATTGGCTTTATGTCCCATTTTATCCATTGACTAATGGATATCCATTCAGTCCGGATGATGTCTTTCCCTATTTTAGCCTGTGCTGCCCTTTTAGCTGTCTTGAAGGGGAATAACTGGCTCTTGGCCTTCCTTTTCAGGCTGCTGCCTCCATAATGAACCTCTCTATGCAGCACATTCAGGCACATATTTGCCTTTCTGTTTATTGAATTCTTTTATTTCTTTCTACCTCATTATGGAAAAAACCAAGCCCTAACTTACTAAACTATAAAATTAGTGTGTATACACACATTCCAGCACAGAGGAAGCTGGATTTAATTAACCTGGTATGTTTTGTGTCTATTTTCTTTTTCCAGTATTTGACTGCAATTTTGAATCTCCTTGTGAGCTGGAATATTCCGTTACCTCAAAAGATCAGGAAACCCCCAACAACGCCTGGGTCAGACTGAGTGCAGAGGAGATCTCACAGCTAAACATCCCAGATGGACCAGAGAGAGATCACTCTGAGAGTACACCTAAAGGTAAGACAAATACAACTATAATGCCTTCAGTGTAGTGGTTAGTTTTAAAAACAAAGCACCCATGCTCCCACCCCCAAAAATAACCTGACAAAAAAAAAAAACCAAAACCCCACCCAAACACATCCTCCTGAAATGCTAAAGACAGCTAGAATCCTTTTACTGCAGCAGATGATGAATGCAAATGATGTGACAAACAAAAAGGGGTCATTCTGCACAAGAGATCTGTTTTCATCTAAGGCAATCTTCATCATCTATATAGGAATCAAAGCATCAAATATAATATTATGTAAAATCCTAATTGGGCTGACCCATGCCATGGATGGTATTTGGATGAGAACTATCCTGTGGTGCCTATGTTTAAGGTCATTCAGTGTTTGGAAGAGTTTAGCCTTACCTTTGCTCAACGTCCTGTGTACTGCTTGTGTATTTGCAGACCATTTTAGGCAATATCCTTGTGTCCAGGGCTTAGGTTCTCTGTTTGGTAAGAAAGCAAAAGATGAGGTTTGTCCTTAATATAAGGAAAAAAGATCCTGTCTTTAAAGAGTGCTAGGAAGCCTGAAAAGAAGAGAGAGCAATAGATTTTTCTCCTTTCTTGGAAGAAAATTTGGTTTGTTGGAATTACTTTTCCTGCTCGTGATCATATCTGTGAACAGCAGCATATTTTATTAAGATTATAAGTTCTGAAAGATTTTTAGATATATTTGTGCTCTTCTAACCTTAGGAAAGCAGCAAAATCCTTAACATCCTTTTGGCTGTTAGTGACATCTGCTTGAAACCTCTCCCTGTAAGGGTCAGGTGGTGTTGATAAGAACAGAACTACAAAAATGGAAATGGGGAAGTTAGGGCTACAGGCTTTATCCAGAAAAACAAAGAGATGTCAGGAAGGACAACAAATTATGAGGGATAAGGAACAGTTTCCATACTAGGAAAAACTAAACAGACAAAAATTCTTTATTTTGTCTGCAATGGTAGGACTTAAAAGTCATTAAAATGCACATTGAAGAGCAGTGGAAAGCATCTGTGAAGTTAGTGAGTTCTGGGTATAGAACAAGTGAGCGGAGATATTTTTCATGTAGTACCTGAATAAACTGTGCGAACAAGACACATGAATTAATGTTATGGGGGCCAGAAGTATGCATGAATTTAAAGAAAGATCAGATTAATTCTTGCAGAATACATTCATCACTGCTTGTTTAATTCAAATTTAAGGCCTCTTATATAGAAAGCTGCAAGTGAAAGGATCCTTTTCTTAGTAGCCAGCATCAGAGATGGCATTTGACTTTGCAGAGCTGCAGTCTGACTCCTCGTAGCAGTTGTTATGTTCAGGTGAATACTGAGGAAATTTTCAGTGCTGCTTTTCGTTGATATTCTGTTTTCTCATCCATATCAATAGTATAGCACTTTTCTCCAGATAGCCATTATAAATTAACTTTTAAGGCCCATTGATTCATCAGCAGACCAAGTCATTTTGGCGTGATCTGTGTCGTGTGTAAAGCAGATGGACCACATTTGTGCTGCAGGCAAATATCTTCTAATTTCCACATCAGCGAACATACATACGCATACTGAATTTCTTGCTATAAAGATACAGTTCAGGGAAAGTTTGAGGTAAATCAGAAGTTCTGCTCTTGTTCTTTTTCTAAAATTCTAGTGCAAGCTGGCTGCCACTGAGATTTAAGAATCAAAACCTTGTTTTGAGTTGAGAAGAGTAGCTGTCACCTTCCTGAAGTGGGGAAAAAAATGTGAAAAACCACAAGGAAGTGAATGTATTGTTCCAGGTAAAGAGCCTGGCCAGGTCAATGTGGTGCTCCATTTTGTATGATTCTTTTGGATTCTTTTTGGTAGAGTTATACCTTTGTCTGTACTCAGTTTTCTGTATCTGCCAAAGCACAAGAAAGAGAGATTGTTGACTGGCCCTGTAGCCCAAAACCAAAGGTGTTAGTGGTTGATGATTTCCAATTGCCTATTGGGATAAAATTCCATTTCTAAGACCAAAGTATGTTTTTTTCCGTCTGGAATATAGGCAATTTAGGCTGAAGCTTGTGCTTTGCTGTTTTCTGCTGTTCTGAGGGGCACGTAACCAGTGTCATATTGATTGAGTGGATTTAGATTGGTGGGCCATCAGAGTGGATTATTTGAGGTGATGTATTTGCTTGTATGTGCGTGTGTGTTTGGTTTTTTAATTTATCAGGCATGCTGGACATGGTGGTAATTTAATCTTAAACCCCTCAGTAGAGCTGTAGGTCTGCAACTCATAGATGACTGTAACTCTTGCTTGTGTAAAGACTCATTTGAAAAGCAACACTTGGAGCTAGCATCTAGATATTTTAAATCACTTTAATTATGGCTGTTTGGCATAGATAGTTGTGTGGTCTGTTTCAATCTGAAATAATTAAGCACAGTAGTTCCAACCCCCACTGTTTCCTGCAAATTGTACTTGCAATTATCTCAATCTCATTTCATCTCCTTTGCAGACAGTAATGCACAGAGATAAACAGATAGCTTAACTAGATTTTGGGATGGTTTAGCTCATACTTGTCACTTGGTTATCAGGTCATGTCAAGACATTGATAGAGACAAATGCCTCTGGTATGATTCACTGTGCTGCGTGTTAGTTTCTCTAAAAGGTTCAGTAGAAAATCACTGGTAGATCTCCCAATGACAGACATTAGAAGAACTTCTGTATTTTTGCCCCTGTCCCAGCAGCATGATACAACTCAGTGTCAAGAAATTGGAACAAATCATGGATTAAGCTGCCTAGAGTAAGAACTAGTTTCAGGTGTCTCAGGATTTGGCTACAGCCACATCTGAGCACTCCATTCACTTGGCATGTTCAGCATGTACTGTCACACAAATCATTGATCTTCTGAATAGGAATAAATGGTGAGGTAGAAGAGTTTGATATTCAATTATTCAGGGTAAAAGATTGAAGGTCTAGTTTTCACGGAATTGAAAAAGGATGCTTAACCAGGTAATAGTGACAGGTGAAATTTAGTGTAGATTATTTGAATTGAGGTGGTGTGAGAGACAATCGGAGTTTGGCATATATGCAGACAGATTGTAAGCTGGTTATGGTCACTTAAGCTGATTAGGGGGTAAGAATAGAGCTGTGAAAACATCAACTCAGAAGCAGGCACAAAGTAAAGGTGATTTTGGGGCTTAGTGGGAAGAGAGTAGGAAATAGGAACAGTTATACTATTTATACTATGCTATAGTATAAATGTGAGGAGTAGCTGTTATCCAAAACATGGTGTTCTGTTCTAGATCCCATGCATCAAAAATCTTTTAGTACAGCTGGATAAGTTTTTAAAAGAAAGAAAACGAGGTTGATCTAAAGTATGTAATGGCTGTCTTTTATGAACTCTTAAATTAACCAGGGCTACACTGCCTGCAAGAGACATCTAAAGGAATACTTGGCAAGGTTGTATAGAAATCAAAGCATTTTATAAAATCTTTATAAAATATGTATAAAGGTTTATAAACTCCAAAGACTTTGTAAAGCACTGAGAGGATGAGTACAGAAAAAATATTCAGTATTTCTTCCAATACAGAATTGGACAGCGTCGGGTGAAATTAGTAGATGTCAGGTAAAACGAAAGGAGATCCTTTAATATGTAACAAATAGGGAAACTGTGGAACTTTTTTCCTGAGATATTGTTGGTGCTGAAACATTCTGTGAGTGTGCAAATTGACAGAATATGAGCAGAGAAGAAAAGCAGTTACAGCTACTGGATTCTCAAGACAACCTTTCCTGGCTCAGAAAGTACGTGCATGAAAGGCCCTGAAGGCCAGGGGTGATGAGATACAACTGTTTGCTCTTCTTGTTCATATATTCTTTCCTCTGTATCTCCACCTGTCTGTTTTCAGAGCCGAATATCTAAAGTTAGTGGATCTTTGGTCTGTGCTGGTAGGGTTGGTGTGGTGGTGTGTCCCTACCTCACCTCCCAGCCCAGGTTTTTCTTCCCTGTCAGAAAGGAGAAAAATGCACTAAGAGTTTTGGACCAGTTTGGAGAGTCAGAGAAAAGTTGCTTTTTAAACACTTAATATAATTTGCTATTCTGTTAAAGCCTTGGGAGTGCCTTCAAACCATGCAAAAATATTGAGTATTTATTAGAAAAAACTTCAGGACTGTCTGCCTGTAGAGATCTAGAGAATAATGATTATCAAGGTACTTTGGGGTTGGGGTTTTTTTTGAAAATTTGTTCTAAAATGTTTCACTCTTCTCCATTCCACACCATCTTGTAAGTGGAGCAGTGGGTGATAGAATCACTAGTGTATCTTCCAGCTATGCCTCTGAAGATCTGCTGGAGTTACAAACATTTCCAAGTCTAACTTCTGTAAATTTCTGCAGGGTCAGAGATTTAAGGTTAAAGTTCCACCGATGTGCTAAGGATTGACAGTAAAACCTCTGCTTTTGGGATCTGAATGGGGATTGTATGTGCTGTAATGAATAGGCAATCCATTGTGGATTACTAGACTTCTTTTAATTCATGAATAAGTAAAAAGATGCTATAAAAAATTCAAGCATTTTGGATCACTGACTGCCTTTATTTATTTTGACAAGTGTGATTAATTCTTAATTATTCATGATCCTTCATAATATATTATACCAGCAAACGTACTGCAGTCTATTGTAATGAAATATGAGGAATTGCAGTTCTTGCTACTGTGGCAATATTTCCTAAGGAGGCAGGTCGGACAAGCCAGTTTGTGATTGGAATGAAGAGGTTTGCAGGAAGTTGCACTTTGCAGCTGTGGGGATGTATGTGTTTGTCATGCTCAAGCTGGAGAGTCGTTTGCCTCTCTAATAAACCTGAGATGGGTCAAACAAGCCATAAATTCTGTGCCTTTCAGCTCTTGAGTCAAACCCAGGGCTTTCTGTACTATGAGGGCCTCTAGAACACAGCTCTAAGTAGCAGGTGGTTTAACATACATCAGAAAGTGTGCCTTTTCAGAATTCATCTCTTGGGCTAGCTCGTTCCACTGCTTGTATTTTCCTT